CCATGTATCGCCCTCCCTCACGACGCAGTCGTGGATGCGGTCCTCAGCGATCGCCTCATTCCTGCATTCCTCTGCCCACGCGCCTTGCCAGAGGCCACGGCCACTAGCAGCAATGCAGTGCAATGCGTTGCTTCGCCCACGCGGCCACTGAGCGTCTGGCTTCTCGACATGACTCTCCACGCAGCGCCCGGGAGGACCCAATCGCTGCGCCGTTCTGGCGAGGCGCTCGGGCGGACGGCGTGGTAGAAGGCACGAGCCGAGGTGCAGAGCATTGGCCCCGAAGGCTCGCCCTCGGCAGAGGCCTGCGCGGGCAAGCCTGAGGGTCCACTTCCTCCTCCTCCTCCTGCTCCTCCTCGTCTCCTTCTTCCTCATCCTCGGCCTCCTCCCGGTCCTCCTTCTACTGCTACTCCTCCTCGTCCTCCTCCTCCCTTTTCTCCTCCTCCTCCTCCTCCTCATCCTCCTGCTCCTCCTCGTCTCCTCCTTCCTCATCCTCGGCCTCCTCCCGGTCCTCCTTCTCCTGCTACTCCTCCTCGTCCTCCTCCTCCTCCTCCGTTTTCTCCTCCTCCTCCTCCTCCTCTTCTTCCTGTGTTCCTCCACCTCTTCACTCTCTTCCTCCTCTTCTTCCTCCTCGTCCTCTTCCTCCCCCGCCGCTCGGGTCGGAAAGGCTGGAGGCACAGCAAGGGAGTTTCAGCGAATCGGCCTGCAACTTGCGCCTCCCGGCGCCAGGAGAGGCGCACAGAAGTGTCGCAGGAAGCGCCCCGCGGCGAGAGGCTCTTCAGAAGCTGCTGGGATGGCGAGGCCTCGGGTTACGCGCAGTCGGCCGGCGCCCCCGGAGAGTCCCGGCTGACATCATCAGGCCCGCCGAGTGGTCCCAGCTGGCCTCACCAGGCCCCCCGAGTAGTCCGGGGCGGTCTCAACACCCCGACGTTACGCCAGCGGGGACTGTCTGCGGGGGCTCTCTGCGCGCAGCCCCAAGATGAGTGTTCTCTTATTCGGCGTTTCGACATTGGGCGTCAAGGGGGGGAGGGGGAGGGGGGGGGGTCTGGCTCCGGACCTCTTCGCTTAACGCGACTGTCTGCAACAACGCGTCCCATGGGGAAGACTCCACCTGCTTGAAACGGGTGCCAAAAACAACCCAGATCTATTCCATGGGGGGGGGAGGGAGGCCCAGGGAAACTAAAAAAGGTACCGATACCGCTACTCCCTGGACCTCTCCCAGGATGCGTTCCGACCAGGATTTCCAGGCGGATCCAGTCGTGGCGACGAGGGCCTCCGACGAGGCCCAAAAAGAGGAAAACGAGGACAGGGTAGAGGTACGGGTACCGTCTTCCCCGTTGAGGAGTGGGAGGGCCCGCGCCGATGGGCAAAACATTAAATAAGAAAACGATCACAGACCTCGCCATCTTGGGGGTCGAGGTGCGTGGAAGGTTCTGGGACCCCCCCTCTCCCCCTTGGAAAATATAGCCCTCTCGCCCCCTCGTTTCTCGTTGAGGGGGGGGGGCGAGGCCCTCTTGGCCTGTCGTGGAGGCCTCTTGGACCGCTCTCTCTTTGCGCCTTCTGGGGGCGTCTTCAGCCTCCCAACGCGATTCCGGCGCGCTCGCCGGGCCCCAGGCCCCCATGGCGCGTCGAGGGGACGCACTGGGAGCCACAGTCATTCCCCCGGATATATATATATATATAAATATATATACATATGTATACAGGCATCTACACATATTATATACATACATACATACATACATACATACATACATACATACATACATACATACATACATACAAACATACAAACATCCATACATACATACATACATACATACATACATACATATATATGCAGAGACAGATGCACATACATACAGCCATCCATCCATTCGTACATGCAGACCTACATACTCACATATAGTGATACATCCATACATGCATGCGTACACCCGTTGCTGCACATATATATATATATAGACATACATATATCCATACATACAAATTTACACACATCTATACATATATATATATATTGGCAGGAAACAAACCGGCAATCATACATACATACGCACATCCGTACTTCCAGACATACATACATACATGCATGCATACACACATGCATACATACACAAGTACATGTACATACATGTGCATCGCTGACTAGACAAACGTAACATACACACGTGCACACATACCTACCTACATACATACATATAGACATACATACATACATACACACATACATACATACATACATACATACATACATACATACATGCATGCATGCATGCATGCATGCATGCATACATACATACATACATACATACACACATATACACACAACCATACGTACATACAAACACTCGTACGGACGTACATACACACATGCATACACACGTTCATACAAACAAACATACATACATACTACCTACATTCATACATACATATGTACATAGGAGACTGCAGTGGCGCTTTGCGTCATGCACCTTGTTCCTTGTAGCTTCGAATGCAAGCGGTGTGCGTGCGCATGGACATGAGGCGGGCCCCGGACGGGCCACCGCCAAGTCGGAATGGGTGAGGAATTCCTGAGCGGGAGCGACCGGACAACACCAGCTGAGGCCAGCTCAGGGCGTCTCGGGGCCCACAGGCGCGAATACGTCTCAGGCGAGTGGTTGGTCTAGCATGAAGCAAGGTCCTCCTCCTTCTCAACCTCCTCCTCCTCCTCTTCCTCCACTTCCTACTCGTCCTCTGTCTGCATCTTCCCCATTATCATTGTCCTTCTCTCCTTCCTCGTCGTCCTCGTCGTCCTCTTCCTCCTCCTCCTCCTCCACCTCCTCCTCCTCCTCGTCCTCCTCTTCCTCCTCCTCCTCTTCCTTCCCCCATCCTTCTCCCAAATGTGTCTCGCGCTTTCGCTTCCAATCGGCTCTTGCGGCCTCAGGAGGGCCCCAAAAAACTTCAAACAGACCTCAATGAGACCCTAGGCTGGCCCAAGAGGGCCCGGGAAGGCAACAATCCAACAGGGCCCGCAGAGTCGGAACTCAGAAAACAAAAATTGAAAAAGCAATGTTTTCGGCCTCCTCGCTTTTTCGCTTCTGGATGTCTCGAAAGGCGCCAAGATGGCCCCAGGATTGCCTCAGAGAGGCGCAAGCCGAGGCCCACAGAGGCCCACGGCTTGCCAAAGAGGGTCCACATAATTGAAAATCCATCACGAACACTATTGGACAATCAATGTTTTTTGGTCTTCTCGCCTTGTCGCTTCCGATTGGCTCTTGGCACCTCTCAAAGCATCAAGATGAGCTCATGACGGCTCCAAATGAGTCCCCAGAGGAGCCCGAAGGAGGGCACAGACTGGCCCTAGAGGCCCGGAGGTTCGAAAATCAATGAAAAACCCATGGGGAAAGCAATGTTTTCGCCCTTCTCGCCTTTTCGCCTCTGGTCGGCTCGGGAGGCGTCAAGACAGCCCCAGGATGGCTCCAGAGAGGCGCAAGCCGAGGCCCACAGAGGCCAAAGGCTGGCCGAAAAAGGCCCAGATAATTGAAAATCAATGAAAACCCATGGGAAAATCTATAGATTTGGCCTTCTCGCCTTTGCGCTCATGATCCGCTCTTGAGGCGTCAACATTGCCCCAGGACGGCTCCAAACGAATCCCCAGACGAGCCCCAAAGAGGCCCAAGGCTGGCCGAAGAGGGCCCAAAGAATTGGAAATCAATTGAAACCATTGGAAAAACTACGTGTTTGGCCTTCTCGCCTTTTCGCATGAGTCCCCAGACGAGCCCCAAAGAGGCCCGAGGTTGGCGCAACAGGGTCTGGAGAGTCGAAAATCAGAGAAAACCTATTGAAATAGCAATGTCGGCGGCCTTCTCGCTTTTTCGCTTCCGGTTGTCTCGGGGGGCGTCAAGATGACCCCAGGATGGCCGCAGAGAGGCGCAAGACAGGCCCGAGGATTCGAAATTCCTTGGGGGGGGTGCGCGGGGGGGGGGCTCCTAAAAAATATGAATAGGAATACACATACATGCATGCATACATGCATACATGCATGAATGCATACATACACACATTCATACATACACGTGTATGCATATATACATATATGTATATTTACACACACACATATATATATATATCAGAATGAGGGGCCGAACGGTAACTCACTATCCCTCGATGTGTGGCTGAAAAAGGATTCCGCGATGCGGAATATGGTTGTTGGTGTTGCTGTTGTTTGCTGTTGTTTGCTGCTGCTGCTGCTGTTGCTGTTGCTGTTCTTGCTATTGTTGGTGTTGCTGTTGTTGATGTTGTTGTTGTTGTTGTTGTTGTTGTTGTTGTTGTTGTTGTTGTTGTTTGGCGTCATCCCCACCGCGACCCGGCCCGCTACCCACCCGCGACCCAACCCGCGACCCGCCCACGACCCACCCGCGACCCACCCGCAACCCGGCCCGCGACCCACCCGCGACACACCCGCGACACACCCCGCGACCCGCCCGCAACCCACCCGCGACAGACCCGCGACCACCCGTGACCCGCCCGCAACCCACCAGCGAACCGGCCAGCAATCCGGCCAGCGACCACCCGTGACTTACCCGCAACCCACCCGCGAACCGGCCAGCGATCCGGCCGGCGACCCACCCGCGACGCACCCCGCGACCCACCCACATTACTTTGATGAAGAATCTGCGCCTGCGGCGGGCTCATTGAAAAAAGTAAGCGCCTGCGGCGGGCTTCTTCAGAGCCTCGCCGACTGCAAACGTCCCCGCCGCCCCCTTAATCTTATCCGCGACTGCGGGGGGTGCTACGTGAATCGTACCGCTTCGATCTCCGCGGGATATTTCCCAGGGGGGAGAATTCAAGAAACTGATGTTTCGGCGGCGAATGAATGGCAGCCGGGCTCCGTGGGGGGAGGGGGGTCATCATCTTCAAGCAAGTGCTGGACACTGCTGTGGAAGCGCACTTCCGAGGCCAACGCCCCACTCCCTCGGGCGCATACAAGCGCTTCTCGAAGTGCGTGACATCCTCCCAAGATGGCGGTCAGAGTGCTGTATGTGACATGTGGAATGGGCAGCATCGTTGCTTTCGATGTAGAAGTCCAGCTCAACGTCGCTGGTGGGGCCCGTCGACGTGCACACCTCGACGAGGCTGCAGAGGCTCTCCGAGAGGTGGGCATCCCCGTGGGACGACCTCTGCGAGCCATGCCTGCCGAGCTGGAGAGCGTGCCCGTCGTGTGCGGAGCAGCCCTGCCGCAGAAGCTCGGGCCCAGGCAAGTCTTGGCCCCCGAGCAGGCGTGGCTCCAGTACCAGGCTGCGCCCACCACCGTGGTCGGCACGTCCTCAGCGGCCTGGTCTGCCTGGCAGAGCCTCATAGGATGCCAGCCGCACTTTGCGTCCCGTGTCCCGCCCGACGCGTCGCCAAACTTTCGCACTACAGAACAGCGAGGGGCCACATAATCTTTCCCAGCGGATTAGCTCCATACGCCCACGACAAGGGCACGCGGCAGCTGCAAGTCTCGAATGTACGAATTCTTCCAATGACCCGATCGTTTGAGCCAGATGGTTAGAACTGTAACGGAGCCATCTTGGGCCGTCGGAGGCCCCTCGAAGATGTCTTGGGGAGATCTTGGGGCCACCGTGGAGCGCTTTTGGCGCCGTCGTGGGCCGTCCTGCTGCTCTTGAAGCCTGTTTGGTTCCTCTGGGGGCCCTCGTGGGTCCCTTCTGGGCTGCCCTCGGGCGGTATCCGAAGCCTCGTGGGCCACCTGGGAAAGGCCGGAAGGAATGCTGAGGATGCTTGCCTCTCGGGAGCTCCTGGGCCGCTCTCAGGGCGTCGTGGGTGCATCTAGTGCGATCTTGGAGTCTCCTCGGGCCGCCGCTACTCTCTACGCAGGTCGGTTCACTCGGCCCCCCTTCGGGGCACCTTGAGCCGCTCCTCTGGACAGCGGCCCACGCTGCGCAGCGTGGGCCGCGAGATTCACATGACGCCTCTTACCCTCCCCCATCCCCCCTCGTCTTCCTCCTCTGCTGAACACGAGGGCGACCATTACCAACTGGACGTCGAGCCACGAAGAATGATACACGTCGACGGCGACAACGACGACGACGAACCACGATCAACCACGAAGAACGGGCGGCGTCGATCGAATAACAACGAGAAACGAATGACGACAGCGGCCACCACGAACAACGAACAACGACCAGGGGACAAACAGCGAACGACGACCACCGCGGCGACGACCACGATGGAACACGACCACGCGACACACGACGGACCAGCGCCGCCGCCGCAGCCGTCGACGTCGTCGTCGCCACCGACTCAGCCGTCGTCGTCGTCGTCGTCGGTGTCGCTGGCGTCGCCGCCGCCGCAGACATCGCAACCGCCATCGTCGTGACCGTGGCCGTCGTCGACGACGTCGTCGCCGCCGCTGCCGCAGCCACCGCCGCCCGCTGTCGTTGCGGTCGCCGTCCCTGAGACCCCGCGTTGCAAAAAAAAATGCAACATCGCGATCAAATCACGATCGATGCCCTCGATACCATCTTGCTGCGTCATTCTTCGAGCCATATCGATCTGTGTTGGTCATGGGGCCCGAGACCGAGCGAAAGACGCCCTTTGTGAATAAGCTGCAGCGCCTGAATCTCAGGGGTCTTCGATGATGGAGTACCCTATGGGACCTGCCCTACAACAGGAAGGTGCTACAGGCGGATCTACCCCGTCCCCGTCCTCGTCGTGCGTGGGACGCAACGGCTGCGTAATCTGTAGACGTATCCACTACGATTTGTCTGCGTGCGTAACGGCATCCAGTGTGCCCATAGACGCTTGTTGTCAGAAGCTGGGAGCGGTTTGTCGCACATGCCCAAGATATTGATCTTCTCGAGATAAGTAGACGTTGAGGAAGCCAACAAGTACCGACACCGCTACTCCCCCGATCTCTCCTGGGGTGCGTTCTGACCAGGATTTCGGGGCGAATCCAGCCGTGGCGACGAGGGCCTCCCAGGAGGCCCAGAAAGGGGGAAAACGGGGCAGGGGTAGCGGTATGGGTACCTCCTCTCGTTTCCTTTCTCTTCCGCTCTTCCCTCTTCCCTCTCTTCGTGTCAGGGTAAGAGGTCTATCCACCCCGATACCTCCTCTCGTTTCCTTTCTCTTCTGCTCTTCCCTCGTCCCTCTCTTCGTGGCCTCCCAAGTGGTCTTCTGGAAGCAGGCAGGCCTTTGCCCTCCGACGTCCTCCTCGTCGGCGCCGTCGTGGCCACCGCCGTCGTTGCCGCCGTCGCCCCGCAGCTTCCGCGACGACGACACCGCCGCGGGACACGGCGGCGCCCGCCGAGGTGCCTGCGAGCTGCTACGCACCGGCGCGGCGCCCTCGGGGGCCACCCGGCGCTTCATGAGGAAGAGGACGTACGCGGCGTCCGGGAGCCAGGCCTGCAGGAGGAGAAGGGCCGGGGATCGAGGAGGAGGAGCAGGAGGAGGAGGCTCAGGATGATGTGTTTCTCCCTGAGGAGTAGGCTGAGAAGGAGGAGAACTGTTTCCCTTGGGGAGTAGGCTGAGGAGGAGGAGGAGGAGGAGGAGGAGGAGGAGGCTGAGGAGGCTTAGGAGGAGGAGTCCGAGGAGGACCAGGAGGAGGAGGAGGAGGAGGAGGAGGAGGAGGAGGAGGAGGAGGAGGAGGGGGAGGAGGGGGAGCAGAAGCCCCCTATGGGGGCGTCTTACAAAGAGCCTGGTCGTGGCGAAACACAGACTCTAGCAAGAACAGGCCCAACAAACGCGTTGAAGGCTCGAGCGGAATGAGGAGCATGAGGGAAAGAGCCGAGGAGGAGTAGGAGGACTCCTTTCCCCGCCTCCCTGGTCCTCGGGAAGGGAGGGGGGAAGGTATGAGAAATATCCTGGAGGCCTCGCGCGGCAGCACGCGACCGAGTGTTCGTCAGATTCACAGCGGATGTACGCAGGGTTCATGTCGAATTGGTCAGATGTACATCTCATTTCATGACGTCGCAACATCGCCGAAAGAATATCAGATGCTCGCTCTGGGGACCTGCCTGGAGCCTCTCGCTCCACCCATGTGTCGATGCTGCGTCGAGCGTCCACCGACCATGAATCGAGCCTGAGTGGAGCTTGAATCGATCTTGAGTCGAGGTAGAAACGAACTAGCTTCGAATCAAAGTCGCACAGATCCGTCAGGGGGGCCCCCCGAGGGGCCTCCCAACGAGCATTTCGGAGGGGGGGCGGCTCAAGGCTGGCTGACATGCAAGGAGTGCCACTCCCAGTGGAGGAACAAAAGGATGCCCATACGGCTAGGACCTCTCTACGAGGGAAGGGCAGCGGCAGCGGTACGTCGGCGGTGGACGAACCTCCCTTTAGTAAACCTCCCCTTAATGAAAACGGCCTGGGACGGAAACCGGCGGACCTGGACCCGCAAAAATGAAGGCCACGACGCCCTCTCGCGAACCGAAAGCGGCCAATTCACTAATTAATCGACGTGTCAGGATAGGAGGTTTGTCCACCCCCGAGTGCGTGATTGTTCCTTCTCTGGACCGGATCCCCCGTCGGGCCCTAGGGCCCTCGACGCCGCAGGAGGTCCGCCGGGGATGGGAGCGCCGTGCGCGCCAATGCCGCCAGAGCGTGGCAGGGCGCAGCACTTTCTCGCTGACGCCGGGGGCGTCCGCAAGGGGGTGGGGGCGCCTGCGCGCCAGCAGGCGAGGCACTCGCGTCGCAGGGGGCGGGGGCGCACCCCTTGGAGGCTGGCGGGGTGCTTCTTGGCATGGGTCTCCACTGTGTGGCCAGCTGGAGCCAGCGCGCTACCACAAGGAACGCCGGATACGGCGCGAAGAGGCTTCTCCGGCCACGGCGCGCCTCGGCCACGAAGAGGTCCCCAGCTGGGCTGCGGGGGCGGCCTGAAGAGCGGAGCCCCTCCC